ATATATATATGTATATACCTATCTATCTTTCTCTTCAGTCAACGTCGCACTTATTTGTCTTTGGCCACTTCCTCTAACCTTGACACATCCCTGGCAATCACTGCCTCATCTCTGAACGCACTCGAATAACTGTCTGCCAGTGAGTCTACCTCTTCATGGGTTTTTTAAAATTTGGTCTCAAGTACTATATCGTATGTCCTCTCTTTGCCTCACTAGTTCTAAAAGTAGATTTTCACTCCAGGTACACTTCCGATCACCTCTCTACCCCAGTCTAATCTTTGCACTAGGTATAAACTCACAAAGAATATGTGGGTGGTTGACAGGTGCTCCCGTGTGGTTTGCTCTTTTTCTACCAAACATCTGTCGTTCTTATCTTTCCTCCTTCTTTTGTCTGTAAGTTACTCTTTCGGGGTTCGAGCTCTTATGTAACTTGTTTGTTTTGCAAATGCTGTAAAACTCTTACTAAAACTAAACTACACTCTCATGTGCACCTCCTCCCTCAGCCTAACCCTCACCCTTGGTATACGCATGTCACCCACTCAGGTACAGATTAACCTCCTCCCAACCCCACCCAACCCCTACCTGATCATCGCCTGAAGTAAACTCAATTTAACTCCCTCCCCTCCCACCTCCACTTAAACTTCGCCATAGATACACTTATGCTTAACCCCCTTCTCCACCTGATCTTTGCCTTAGGTACACTCAAGTTCTCAAGTTTATCTCTCATCCTCACCCCCCCCCCTAAAAAACCTGTTCTACGCCTTAGGTACACTCATAAGGACGTTTCCCCTCCTCCATCCCTCCCCTCAACCCCAGCCCTCCCCCCCTAAAAAAGAATATATAAATAAATTATAGATCAGCCTGATCTTCGCTCTAGGTACACTCATATAAATGACATTTATCTTATCTTATCTCATCTTTTTCTCCTTCCTCTTTTCTTCTTCCCACTCCCTTCCAAACCCCTCCCCCTCCCCATTTTCAGCCTGATCTTCGCCCTAGGTACCCTGATGATGACGTTCACCAGCGCAGCCGTCCCCTGGTTGGTGGTCCCGGCCCTGGCACTGACTGGTGTGGCTGGAACTGCGGTCCTGGTCACTAACCTACAGACGGCCAATCTCTTTGGCCGGAGACGTCACGTGGTCATCTCACTCTACGTGGGCGCCGGGTACTCGAACGGGCTCATTACTTTTCTAATGCAGGTATGTATGGGTATGAGTATGTGTGTGTGTGTGTGTGTGCGTGTGTGTGTGTGTGTGCGTGTGTGTGTGTATGTATGTATGTGTCTGTGAGTGTGTATGTGTGTGTGTTGCTATCTATCTATCTATCTATCTATCTGTATTTCTCTGTGTATGTGTGTATACATGTATGAGAGAGAGAGAGAGAGAGAGAGAGAGAGAGAGAGAGAGAGAGAGAGAGAGAGAGAGAGAGAGAGAGAGGGGGGTGAGAGGGAGAGGAGGGAGGGGGCAGACGGTTAAGCCAATGATCTTGTTACATTCCATTGGCGAGTAGGTTGGATGGGGTTTGTAGGGTACTCTATGGATCTATCTCATTTCTTATTCAAGGATATAAATCTATACATATTATATTTGTGAAAGTTCTTCACTTTGGCCGCCTAAAACTTCGGAACCTCTTAACTTTCGAATTGGAAAAAATTAACGGTGTATCAGAATCATGTAAAGGGTGCACAGTTTTATTGAGGCGTCAGAAGTCATTGTAGTTTAATTTTCACTTTTACATTAGTTTCGTTTAGATCTATTCTTGGGAAAGTCCGTCTTCTAAGACGCCATCGTATACAAGTGAGGCTTCCGTTCACAAGGAGTGCGCGCACTGATCCCACACCTTTGAAATTCTGGAGTGCACAACCACGAACGCGGAGTAGAGAATCAATCTATACATCTCTATATCTAGATTCTAGACCTTCTAACGTTTTGCATCTCTGATAGAATGTTGGATCCCCTCGAGCCAGTGTTGGCTCGCTTCCTAATATGATCTAAAATGTGTTAATAGAGGAGCAAAAGCACCTACATTTTAAAAAATTTTAACGCATCTCGAAAACTCTAAATTCACCATAATCTCGGGACTTCAGATTTCGTTAATTCCCTACATAATGTGCGTCTATTTTGATATCCATCTCCTTCCACTCCTCCCCCCTACGCCCACTCAACTTTTTTATGACGAACGTGCGGAAATAGAACTTTTGCCATTTCTTAAAAACGAATCGAATTAGGGTTCTGAGTACAGGATAACTTCGTAATAATTTCCTATATACGGCACTTTCGACACATTACAGTTTCTTTCTGGTTCGAGTGTCGGTCCCAACCGTACGAGCCAATAACTCGTTATCGCAGGTGGAGAATATTGAAGGTTCTTTAAATGTCATTGTCAAAGCATAAATGTTCCCATGTTCCCATTATTTCCCACCCCACCCCACCACACCGCCTTTCCTATCCACTGTACCCGCTTTAGAAGTAGAAAAGTCTCCTCCTACAAAAGGACCAACATTTTTCTCTGCACCAGGATTGTTGTGTTAACCTGGAGCCATCAAGATCTCTCTCTCTCTCTCTCTCTCTCTCTCTCTCTCTCTC